CGACGAAGTACACTGCTGAGGGGAGCAGCGGGCGGGTCAGGAGAGGTCTGGCTCGCCATGTGGTCTCCTCCGGGGAAGGCAGCAGGCAGGAATCGAACTCATGCGGAAGTGGCCTCAGACTCTCAGTGCTGTGCTTTAACCCGCTGCGCCACCAGGGAGGGCCAGAATCTGTTGTTTTTAACAGGCTTAAAACTAACCCTCGCTCCTACGCTGGTTAGAAGCAGTACATTTTCAATTTCAAGGCAAGGAAGCTGGGGAGTTCAGACATACACATAGCCTGGTTTGTTTGTACTACTCAACTGAATACCAGACTGGAAGACTCATCAAATGGGAGGGGGGGAAAACCTCCAAAAATGCAATTTGTAAATCAGATAACAACCCTTTGATGCCTGAAACATTTTACTCATGATATCATGTATTTTTGTGATAAAACCTGCTACATTTATCTCCTTCATTTTAGCAACATACTTTTTTTAATGACCATCTAATATACAATGATGATATATCTAAACATGGGATCTATAGTTAGCTCTAAATTATAAAAGGGTATACCTGTCTTTCTTTCCAAAAGTTCATTCACTTTTGCCCAGAATTTTCCTGGTCAGCTAAACCAAATGGATACAAATGGTTCCTTAGATTGATTCTTCAATAAATAACTACAGGTATCCTTCTATGGCGTTTAAGGCAGAGACACTATATTCAATGAAAGCTTCTTAATGAGCAGAAAACTCACTGGAGATCAAAAGCTCGGTCATCCTTCATTTCACAGTAATAGTTCTTTTTTGCAGTAGAACCGTGAAGACATGAATAGGGCCGTGTACTGAATGCCAGGTTAATGCCAAACATTTTTTATTTGGAATTGTATGATAAATGATTAAAGCCAAAATTTTTCCAAAACCTCTCAAGGAGGCAGTGGTGATGCACTGAAAAGCGATGGCTCCCCATCCACAAAGGAAACATCCTTGGGCTCTCAGGTCACCAACAGTGACACAAAATCTTCAAAGCAAAATTCACTTTCAATCAGTTTTATTTAGAAACATAAATAGGCCAAACAATACCCAAGCCTGGGAAGGCTACATTCTTTTTCAGGAACATAATAGCCAAAATAACTAATCTCATGACTGATTCGGCTCACAATTATTAGCCCTCTTCAAGCAGCAGCACAATCACAATTTTTTTTTTCGGCACCTTTTATGAGCATTAAAGAGTCACAGAGCAATGAGTCACAACTCTGCCCTCAAGGAGCTTACAATATAGCTGGGAAAGACAAAAACACCCAGAACAGGCACAAGTTCCATGTTATGATGATAAAGAACAGTTACTGGCATAAGTCATCACATTTTAACAAATGAATCATAGGAATATCTTAGCAAATATACACAATATCAAATTCAAATTATCAAAAGAAACCCCAATGTTATGCAAAATTTTCAACTAAAATGGATTAAAAGAGAAAAAACATAATTCTGAGCCAACTTTACTGTCCCAAATAAAGGACGGAAGGTTTATATCCTAGAATTTCACCCTGGGACAGTGTCCAGATGTCAAGGTCAGTAGTTCAGACTGCCAAACCGATGAACAAATTCGGAGAGCGAGTATACGGCTCCCCATCCGACCTCAGGATCCATGCTGATAAAGTCATTCAGGTTCATTTTGGAATCTAGGAAACATGAAAGAAATGTCCACTGAAAACACATTGTAACAGTAATAAACAACCAAGATTAAAGGTAGGAAAAATTACTCTAATGGCTAAACTCAGTGCCCCATCTGTGGTATTCTCATCTCAAATACATAAACTCAATTTAATCATGACAAAACACCACACAAACCCAAATGAGGCACTCTACACAACAGCAGACCACACTCTTCAAAATATAAAAGCTGTAAAAGGGGAAATAAAAAAGGGACTGACAGATTGGAGGAGACAAGTAAATGTAATATTCAGGAGGAGATCTGGATCAGAAAAAAGAAGTTAGTGGAAAATAATGCAAAATTTAAATAAGGCCTGTAAGTTACTAACATTGTATCAATACTGTTATGTTAATATTTTTATATCAATTTTACCATTTTCTTGGTTTTGGTGGTTAGATTATGATTATATAAAACAACACTAAGGGAAATCAGAGTAAAGACTAAAGACAACACAGGAACTCTATACTATTTCAGCAAACTTTCATTAACTCTAAGATTATTTCAAAATGAAAGTACACGGATAGTCAAACAGCCAATGTATTTTATTAACAGCCGATTTAAAGCCAGAGGAAGCAAGAGAGATACAATCAGCCAAAACCAGGCTCAATTCTTCAACAAATTACAAAGGGGGAAAAAGCTAGGGGAGGCAAGCAGTGTAAGCACTAAAAAAGACTGAAGACACTTATCAAACGCACAATTTGGGGACCTTATCTGGAGTCTGAGTCAACTAAACAAACTGGGTGAAAAAGATGATGACTTGGTAACTGCGAATTTGAACACTGAGTAGAGAAATAGATGATTTTAAAGAATCGCTGTTAACTTTTTCAGATATATAATGGTTTTGAGGACTTTTTTTTTTTTTTAAGAAATCCTTATATTTTAAAGACTTGAAGGATATAATAACTGGCTATTTTTCAAAGTAAATTTAAGGACGGGGAAAGTGAATGGGACATAAATGAATCAATTGGTCCTGACTCGTAACTACTGAGAGTCTGATGTTACTCTGTCTAGTTTTACGTGTGACTTAAATTTTCCATATTAAAAAAATAAATCTTAAGTATGTTCAGATTTCTGCTCTGCTCATCAAAAATTGTTACTAGAACTAGACTTCAACCATAAGCTGCCAGAAAACTGAACTACATGAAGACAATGTTTCCAGATGACGGACAATGTGAACACTTGCCTGTGATTTGTGAGAAAGCAGACGTAAAAGCCTGGAGACCTCCAGATCACTCCACCCACTGCCCCCATCCCAGGGCAGTTCCCACAGCACAACACAGACCCAGGCAGCGACATCTGAGGGTTAGGAATTAGAGGAGAGAGAGGTGCAATGCTATGGAATTCTGCAGAGGGATCCATTCCCCCTACACCCCCACTCCATACTCGTTTGTTTAAGTACTGATCTCATGAGGTCAGGCAAGACGCACAGAACACAAAGGTGGAGTAAGTCCCAGTTTCCACAGTCCACACCAGCCAGGATGGCGAGAAGCCTCTGGCAGAGTCCTCAGAAGGACCATGCCAGGGCAGCGGGGTTCCATTAGCCCCAGATGAAAGGCTGCGCTGAGCTTGCCCTAAGTAGACTAATAAGCAAGCCCTAAAAGGATACAACTGACTCCAAGTGATTGAACCACACAACGGAACAAAAACCAACAGGATTTTCAACAAGTATCTCAAGAGCCAACAAATCTGACAATATAAAATTAGTCTAGCATCCAACTAAGTAATCCAAGTGATTGAACCACACAACGGAACAAAAACCAACAGGATTTTCAACAAGTATCTCAAGAGCCAACAAATCTGACAATATAAAATTAGTCTAGCATCCAACTAAGTAATCCAAGTGATTGAACCACACAACGGAACAAAAACCAACAGGATTTTCAACAAGTATCTCAAGAGCCAACAAATCTGACAATATAAAATTAGTCTAGCATCCAACTAAGTAATATGAATCACACAAAGAAAGAGGAAAACATGACCCCAAAGGCAGGAGAAAAATAAACTACCAGAGACTAAAATGTCAGAAATCATAGAACTAGCAAACAAAGGCCAAGAAATAACTATTACAAATGTGAATGCACATATTCAAAAGGATAGAATAAAAACATAAGCATGATGAAGAAAGGAGAGATACTAAATCAGCCCCAAATGAAACTCTTAAAAATGAAAAATAAAGTACAATGAGAAGAAAGTGTCCCTGCACGGGACTACAACAAATTAGTTAATACAGAGAAAAGACTGATGAACTTACAAACAAGATGTATATAAAACTATCCATTATCAAGTACAGGAAAAGTATGAAAAAAAGAAACAGACCATCATTGATCTACAGGAATAACATCAAGCAAACTACATACGTATAGTTTAAGTATGAGAATACAAAAGGGGTGAGAAAAATACTTAAAAACACCAAATGTTTTTAAATTTGATGGAAACTATTAATTCACCCATCAAAGAATCTCAACAAGCCTCAACTATTGTAAACCTAAAGAAAATTACTCTACAACAGCCTTCCTGGTGGCATAAAGGGTTAAAGGGCAGCACTATAAAGCTGTCTGCAGCAATGTTCAACCCCCAGCCAGGGGGCTGACCTTTATGGACTGACAGATCTTTCCAGTCTCCCTACTGCTTCCCTCAGCAGTGTATTTCGGTCACTCTGCCTGTTCTGCTCCCCACTCTGTCTCTGGTAAGCCTCTCACTGGCCCTGTACCTTTGGTTTGTACCCCAGTTCTGTATGAATAAATAAATCAAACATAAAAAAAAAAGAAATAAAAGAAAATTATACTACTGCCCACCATCATCAGATTGCTAAAACCTAGTAATAAATACAAATACCTTAAAAAGCAGCTAATACAAATAAAGACACTACACTCAGAGAAATAAATCTAAGAACAGCATGCTCCTTAAAGAGAAATTACACAGAGAGCAGGTATCAGAAAAGAACTAAAAGATACACACACACACACACACACAGCATTCATCAACCTACAAACACCTTTCATAATAAAAGGGTAAATGTAGGATATAAAAAACTAGAAATGGAAACAGACCTACAGAAAATGTTAAATAATCACTAAGCCAGAACTTTTGACATCATTGAAAAATTGAGATGCAGGATGACCAAGTAACCAGAAATAAAATAAACAATGGGCACCATCATTCGAGGCCCCGGGGGTAACAGGGTGGAAGTTTTTGCTCACTGGGGGCAGGTGCCAAGTTCCTCATAAATCAGTGAGTCAACTGAAATCTTCCACAAATTGTGAAATATGGCAAATGTGGTTTTTTGGACATTTAAATGTAAATTAAAAACATGGTTACTAGCTGCAGGCACTTGTTATTTTAAAAAAATAGACATTAGGGCCCTCCCTGGTGGCGCAGCGGGTTAAAGCACAGCACTGAGA